CATTCAAGATTACCCTTTAAATTTGACTTTCAACTCAGTAATTACAATGTGCCTTGGCATGGCCTTTTTAACACATATTATACTTGGTATTTGTTGTGTATCTTAAATCTATAAATGTAGATCATTAATCACATTTGGGGAAATTTTGGCCTTTATTTTCTCAAATAGTTTTTCTGTTCCATTCTTTTTCTCCTTTCCTTCTGTGACTTCAATTACATGTATGTCAGACTATCAGGTATTATATATTAATAGCATGTTTTTGAATCTCTGTTCATTTTATAAATATGTGTATATTCTGTATTCTTCATGTTGGATGGTTTCTGGTGATCTGTATTTAAGTTCATTCATTCTTTGCCCTTTCCATTCTTTTCTTAAGTCCATTGAGTGAATTTTTATTTATATAGTATATTTTTCTGTTCTAGAATTTTTGTGTAGTTCTTTTTATTATGCCCATTTCTCTGCTGAGATTTCCTATCTTTTGATTTATTATGGGCATATTTTCATTTATTTCACTGAGGATAGTTATAATCATTGATTTTAAAATCCTCTGTGTTAATGCCAATATTTGAGTTATCTTAGTTGATTTCCATTGTTCCTTAGCACATGTTTCGGTTTTCTTGTTGTTCTCATGTGGTATAATTTTGGAATGTATCCTGGATAGTTGAAATGTTAAATTGTAGAGACTCTAAATTTGGTTATTTTTTCCCCCCAAAGAATGTTGTTTCTTTTATTTTAGTAGGAAATTGTCTTGGTTGGACTCAAAGTAAACACTCTGTTTCTTGAGTGTCTACTGTGATCTTAGTGCAGATCTTTTGTGTTTAGCTAAGCTGTTCTGAGTATGTTCCAAACATCTGAGGTTCAGGAGCCAGTCAGAAATGTAGTGAGATAGAATTTGGGGATCCCTCCTTGACTCTTTCCCTTCCAGGATTTCTTCTTTCTCTCTGGTGGCCATGGTTTACCTGGGATTGGTCTTCTAGTTTTCCAAGACATAAAGGCTTCTTTTTTTTCTTAAACTGGTACCCTTGCCACCCTTCATGCTGCAGTACCTCCATAGCCCTTGGCTAAAAGCATTGGAAATACCCCCCACATTTCTACTCCTCTTAGCATGGATTTTGCATCAGAGCTTGTCTGCTCTGTTCAGCTCTCAGGTAGCTGCTTTTGGTATTATGCCCAGAGTTTATTGTGATTATTTGCTGGAGAGTTGGTCCAAGAGGCTCTTACTCTGTCATTACTGGGAGAAGTCAAGTTATAGTATTATCATATTAATTTGTATAAGTACTTTATGTTTTAAGAGTATTGAAATTTTATTTTACATATTTATGATAGATAACTTTGATGATCTGTTGTTTGGCTTTTAAATTTTGTTTAGTATTTATGGTATACAGACATCTTGTATTTTGATGTAATTAAATAGGTAAGATTGAGATTTACTCTCAAGTTTTACTTAAAAATTCATTCTTATTCAAGGAGCAGATAAGTATATACCTGGATTTTCTTCTAGTTTTTCAGTAGTGATAGGTTTTAGATTTAACTTTTTAATCCCTTTTGAATTTATTTTAGTATATGGTACCAAGTGAAGATCTCATTTGATATTTTTACCAAAGAGCAAGGCCATTTCTTAAATATAATATATTGAAGCTGATTCTATTTTTAATAGCAGCCATGTGTTTCCATTATAGAAAATTAATTTTTAACTTACTGAAATTTAAGATGAAACAATATAATATTGACAAACTATATCAGAGTAGTGGGCAAAGTTTGAGGAACAAAGACTTAATAAGAAAGATGAAACATTTTTTGTATGTGAATAGTAGTACATCAAACCAAGGTCACAAATTAAATGTGGCCCTGTAGGCCTAACAAAATCAGTGAACTAATCTCTGTCTCTCTTTCTCATGGCTGCGTACACAGTGCTAGCAGCAGAAGTAGAAATAATAACCATTTATGAAATATTAGCTGCTATAATTATAATCATAGTAAAAGTACTATAGATGTGTTAGATGCTATAATAATAACAATAAATAATGATGAATGCAATAAAGGAAGGATATGTATACTATGAGAGTCTGATAGAGGAGCTAGCATTGGCTTGGAAATCAGGGAAGGCTTCCTTGAGGAAGCAATGATTAAGACTTGAAGGAGGAGTAGAATTAACCAGTAAGTATAGGGAATAGGTAGTGATTGGGGGATGTGTCAGTTGGCAAAGGAATCAACGCGCCTAAGAGACCTAGGGCAGGGAGCACAGCCCTTTTGAAGAACTGGGAGACCAACATAGCTGGAGCTAAGAGAGCCAGAGGACTGTGCATGCCGTGGATGAGGCTAGAGAGGTGAGCAGGGCCAAACTATGCAGGCTTGCAAGTTTCAGAAGGATTTTAGTTTTCATCTTAAGAGCAATGGGAGGCGTGGAAAGATTTTCAGCAAGAGAGTAATCTGATCAGATTTGCATTTCAAGAAGACAAGGCAGGCAGAGGTATGGAAACATATTGGAGGAAGGCAATAGTACAAGGACACCAAGGTACAAGGAGACCAAATAGGAGATTATTGCAATAATCCAAGTGAAAGAAGATTGTAGTTTGGTACTATATGTGGATGTATGAATGGGTGGATAGCTGGCCAGCTGGCTGGATATGTAATCTAAGTTGTAGTGGCAAGACTAATGGACTATAATCTTAAAGCAACTTAAGTTTATTTCTCATTGCCCATTGGAATCTGCTCAATTGGATTAATTCTTTTGCCCCTAGACAAAAACATGAGCCAACCTTGATTTTTCAGATTTGTCTCGTATCATACAAAGAGCCTCAGTTTAGTAATGCAACAGCCAGTCTCACATACAGTCAGAGCCACAGACTTGATTTAATTGTGAATTGTGCCCACTCCCCCAGTTGGGGCTCTTGCCAGGCAGGAATGAAGGGGGCCTGATGGTTGCTTTTCCCTTTCCCTGCTTTGCACGTCTCTTCCTCCCTCATCTTGTAAGCTCTGTTTCTGACACCTCCAGGAATTGAAATACACAGAGAAAGCAGAGACAGAAAGGGCAGCATGAAAGTTCTCACTTGACTGGCATTGCTGTGAGCTGGAAGCTGTGTTCTCAGGACCTAACAAGCGCTTATAGGTGTTTCCTTTCGTGAGTTCCTTTGTTGGTTCTTTTGGATTTCACATTTGATGAAGGCAGATTCATCCTTTGCCCAGCTAATTGCTCATTCCCTTCTCGGTCCCTGGGAATGTGGGAATAGAGGAGGAAAAACTTCTCTTTCAAGGTGTGTTCATTCCTCCAGAATGAACACATCATCCTCCAGAACGGTGTATTTGTGTGTGCGCATATTCTCTCTCTCACGTGACCCACATCTGATCCATGTGAAATTATTAGAGCAAATCAACCAACAGCCCCCTCAACGGTCCCCCCAGTCAACCAATCCCCCTTCTTTTTCCCCAGTGGCTAGCCAGCTCATCTCTCACCCACAAGATTCCTGTGTGGGAGTCAGGCACCAGCACATCTTACCCCCCATTGCAGGGGACAGGTCAAGCTCCCCAAGTGGAGCCAGTTCTTGTCACAAAGCTTCAGGTGATGAATAGATATCCTTTCCCCTATCCTTTGTGCTGGGGTTGGGACTCGGGCATACCAAAAGATTTTCTCCAAAAATCCTCTCTCTTATCCTCTATTTTCTGGACTTTTTAGTACCTTAGGTGTAGGTAAAGAGTTTAAGTTCCTCTAACCAGTTCCCTCTCAGCTACAATCAAAACACAGCAGTCTGTCTGATGTCCACTTCAGTATCTCCTATCTGTTATCCAAGGATCTCAGCCAAAACTACGTTTTGCCATCCTGTTACGGAAGGATGGATGCTGCTTAACCTGTAAGTAACATACACGGTAGGTCAGGTGTCCCGCCTACAGTAGAGGCTTTTCAATCTATTAGCCTTAATCCTCATAATAACATCCCCAGAAGAGAGTATTGTTCTCATGATGAGAAGGATGGAGAATCAGAATAGCGAGCAGCTTCCCTGAGGTCACATCAGCAGTGCAGGAGCAGGGATTTGCACTCTGGTCTTTCTGAGCGGCGCCTGTGCTCACATCAGGTTGCTCCTGCTGGCACCTTGTAGCTCAGAAACTATTGGACTCTACACTATGGGACCATATGAACTTTGGAAGTTTGTTTTTGAACAATTTTCTAATTACTTATTCTTGCTAAGACTTTAAATCTATACTAGTTTTCTATTGCTTCCATAACAAAGTACACAAGCCTAGTGACTTAAAACAACACAAATTTATTATCTTAATGTTTGGTAGGTTAGAAGCCCAACATGGGTCTCACTGGGCTAAAATCCAGGTTTCAGCAAGGCTGTGTTCTTTATGAGGGGTCTGGGGGCAATTACATTTCTTGCTTTTTGCAGTTTCTAGAAGCCACCTGCATTCATTTATTTGTAGCCCCTTCCTCCATCTTCAGAGCCAGCCATGTCACATCTCTGGCCCTTCTGTCATCACACCTTTTTATGGCTGCAGCTGGGGAAAGTTCTCCCATTTTAAGAACTTATTTGATTAAATTGGGCCCACCTGGATAACCCAGGCAACTCCATTTCAAGGTCCACCCTTAATCACATCTACCAAGTCCCTTAGTACAGGGAATGTATCCTTAGATTCCCAGGATGGTGATGTGGACACTGTGAGGGCCGTTGTCCTGCCTACCACAATAATTGAGTTCTTCAAATAATTAATTTGAAAAAATTGTTGTACAGACATTAGAATTTTAATCAAATTCATTTGTTTCTTCATTCAACGTATGCTGCCACTAACAGAATAGAGAGTCATGGAGGTGTGTAATCAGTTTGATTTTTCCTTGCTTTTAAAAATTCAATTTATAGTACTATTTTACTAAATGATTTTGTTTACCTGAGATGTGAAACTTCATATAAATTCATTGCTGTCATTTTCAATTCAGTATTAAGCATCTAATCCATACAATGCTATAGAAAAATGTTTAAAATAATATTTTTGTTTTTAAAATCCAGATTTGGACTTAAACCCACCACAAAAATCAATTGGAAGCAATTTCTAACATCATCTTTTGAGCCTCGGGAGTTGGATATTAGCAATATGGTTCCCCCGAGAAAAAGAAATGGGTATGTAAAAAAACAAAAAACCAAATTTTAGTTACACACATTACACACATTCTCTAATCTTTTACATTAGAGAATATCCAAGTTATTTTTTCATCATTTATTGAATGACCAATTAGTCTCCACTGGATAATTGCCAGCTTTTACATAGCAATTTTACAGTTTATAAATTATTTTTGATACATTTTTCTTATTTAAGATGGCCTTCAACTATAAGGTTGGTATAATTACTATTTCAATTTCTAGATGAGAAAAATAAGACTACAAGATCTTCACTTAGTCACCTGCTCAGTGTGCAGTGGAGCCCAAGGCTCTGAGTATGCCCATAGCTGCTGCTGCTGAGCTCCAGGTTCTTGCAAAATTGTGTATAAACATGTGCTTGTTAAGTGTTGTATGGAAAGGAACAATATTATTCATTTGTTTCCAGCCACTCTCTGCGTGGCATATATATCATGAGTCATGGGGATTATTTGTCTTGGACATCATCCTTTCTGTCTCGTTCTCACATCTATTATAACTTCATATTTACGATATCATGTAAATTGTGGTGGGGGCCCCAAAACGCAAAAAAGTACTTAGTAATATGCCATTTAGAATTTAGACTTTTGCTCTAGGAAGTATTTTGTTTATGTTGAGGTTCATCCTGGATTGCTCGCCCCCTATGAATCCTAAGGAAAAAACCAGGCTTTATAATCTTGGTACATTCATTGAAAGCATTATGCTCCATTGTAAAGTAAAATATACCACATTTCATGGGTCCCATCCTTGTCTCAGGTATTTATGAATATTTAATGAACTGCTCTCATTACCAGCCTTCCAGGTATTCAGAGCCTTCAGAGCTCATTGCTCCTGGGATGCAACTCTGTGAATTCATTTTCTTTTTTCTTTTTTTTTTTTAGACAGAGTCTTGCTCTGTTGCCCCAGATGGAGTGCAGTGGCATCAGTCTAGCTCACAGCAACCTCAAACTCCTGGGCTCAAGCCATCCTCCTGCCTCAGCCTCCCGTGTAGCTGGGACTACAGGTGTACACCACCATGCCCAGCTAATTTTTCTATTTTTAGTAGAAATAGGTTCTTGTTCTTGCTCAGGTTGTTCTCAAACTCCTGAGCTCAAGCAATCGTCCTGTCCTGGCCTCTCAGAGTGCTAGGATTACAGGTGTGAGCCACCATGCCCAGCCGATTTACTCTCTTAAGTGAGGTTACTTCTGTTTCTTTATAATTTTCTTGTCTGATAGTATCTTATCTAGAGCTGTCAGAATTTTAATGTTCTATTTACTTTAAAGTTGTGGTGCTCAACTAGGGGCAGTCTTGCTTCCCAGGAGACATTTGGCAACGTCACGAGACATTTTTGGTTATTACACTGGGGTTGGGGATGCTACTGATGGGAGATGATCATAATCCTGAAAGACAACAATCTGAATGACATAATCCTGGAAGATGAAAATCCATAAAGTCTAAAATCTTTAAAATCACAATCCTGAAAGATCAAAATCCTGACTATATAATTCTAGGAAAGCTAATTTAAAAATTCTTCAGAAGATATTTATTTACATTTTTAAAAGTGGATTTATTTGAGAAACATATAAGGACACAAGAGAACGCTTCATAGGAAACTTTACACAATAAAATAGGCAATAATACCTTACATATTTTTGCAGACATAAATGCTCAAGTATACTAATATTGGGTGCAGGGGTATGATAGTTACGAGCAGACAAATTGAATTCATTAAAAATAGGTCAAAATGGAAATGTATAAGCATATTACTATGGTTGGTAATTGTGTACATCCAGCATAATAACTGTGGTCATCTGAAATATTGTGATGGACAACCTAAGTCTTTTGACAAGATCCATCAAAATCTGAGATGGTGTTTCGTGAAAATCCCAGGACAGTACAGAAAAACTGCCCCCAAAACTGATAGTGAATCAAGAGACCAAAGAGTGACTCTGACAAGTCATTGGTGAGTTAGATGAATTTGATAGAGGTTACTTATTTAGAGCACTTGCTTCTGGATGGCACAAGAATTTCTTCCACAGGAACTTTTTTGCATGCAAAATCCACATCTGCCCACCCTGTGGTGTTGCCTTAAATCTCTTCCCAATGAGTAATGTAAAGTTTTTACATTGTGCCTTTGCTTGGTCACAGTGAAACATATCACACCAGTGCAGTACTATTGTTATCAAAAGTTCAGCACTTGTCCCCAAGGCTGAACGAATGAGGCCAAGTGGTTTGAGGAAAAGGAAACAGAAGTTTATTAATTTGCCAGCAAATGAGGAGGATGGCAGACTCTCATCTTAAAGAACCACCATCCCCTCTTTAAGCAGAAAAACAGGGTTTTTAAAGGGGGTTTTCAGCTTCAGGCTATTGCTGTTTAACTATAGCATCTCTGATAAAGATGATCTCATGACATCTGCCTGGATAATTCTGTTGGACTATCTCCTGTGATTTAAGATACTATGAAACAGAGAACACCCTTCTGCCCCTCTGATTACTGGCCTCCAGCAGGAACGTAAATTTTAATTCTTCAAAAAGGGTGAGGGGTTTTAAAGAGACAACTCGTAAAACATTTTGCCCTTTTTGGGATCCTAACTTCCGTTATACCATCATCATAATGCTGTCATGCAACCCATGTTATAGTAATGACATTACAGTTTTCCCCTACATGAGGATTTTCGCATTACAGTTAGCTAAAGGGCACTTTGGACAATCAAACAGCTCTAAGGCAATCAGGCCCTGTTAGAACCCACCATTTCAAACACGAAAATGCTGGGCACTTTTCCCAGGCCCAGTAGTTATCTTGGTACCTGCTTCATCTATTTTGTAACAATTTTGTTGAGCACTCCAGGCCAGCACGATGTTTCTGTGATGTGGTAGGGAACTTGGGTTTTCCCTCAGGTGCGTCACCACCACATACTGCAATTGCCCAAAGAGCCAAGAATTTGAGAAAGTTTCTCTTCACAAATGTAGATTTATAAAATGAAGTTTGAACATTTTTATGCACATGTACACTGCTTACACACAAAGTCAATGATGCGATAATGCACTTTGGTAGAGTCAAATTTCTGATGTCCAAGACAGCAGAAGAAAAGTCTGTCCACGGGCTCTCAGAGAGAGACCAGTTTGCCTTCTGTGTTCTCTCTGGGGCCCCAGCTGATTGGACGGTGCCTGTCAGCATCGAGGACAGATCTTCCCCACCCAGTCCACTCAGGAAACATCTTCACAGACATACTCAAAATCATGCGCTACCAGGTTCCTAGGCATTCCTTAACCCAGTCAAGTTGACACCTAAAATTAAGTCCACAAATCTTCTCCTTGTCAACTTGGCACACATATGCATCTCCTTAAACCATACTTAATTTTCAAATAAAGACAAGGTAATACTTCCACCTATTATGATACAACTACCATACGTATAAGTGAAAAGACACTAAGCCCTTCCCCAGAATTCAGCTTTTAGGGTTTCAACATTCAGGGTTTTAATCTTTCAGGATTGTGATTTTTGAAATTTTAGACATTAGGGTTTTAGATGTTAGGGATTTTAGACTTTAGGGATATTGATCTTTTTGGGATTTCAACATTTGGGATTATGGCATTTGATATTGTGTCTTTCGGGATTATGATCCAAACCTGCTACTGTTATCTAGGGATAGAGGCCAGGGACCCTGCTCAGCATCCTATAGTGAGTACCCCATAAAAGAGAGTTATCTGGGCCCAATTTCAGTAGTACTTGGTAGCAGTCTTTAGAAAAACTAGGTTCCAATGAGTCACAGGAGGAACTCAGACTCAGTAAACCAGAGTATGTTTCTGACAAGTAGTGGGGTGTATTGTTTATGTTTTTACACAACTGGAAAAAGCTAAGATGGCCATGTAGATGCGGCAACAAAAATCCCCAAATGTGAGAATGGTTCCACAGGTAAACTGATTCACTGTCATTATTTAGTGGGAAATGTTTGACTGTGTAATTGAACACTGAGAAAAGGAAGCAGCAAACAGTATTTTGTTATGAGATTCTGGCAGTCTCCCTTTCTGAGCGGAGTCTACACTGAAGTTGATTTTGATTTCCAGAGGGGACAATCATGGCCTTCAAGAGCACACAGGTAGACTGATGGGGATGAAAGAAAGAGGCAACAGAGGGAGAGGGCCTGGCAACGTAGGTGGCCATGGCCTTTCCATTGGCGATGGAAAGGGAGAGCTCATAAAGACTGCTGTCCTCACAGCTTTGAGTCTGGAATTTGTGCCCTTGGTCATCGCTGGATGAGTGTGCTACAGTCTGCTGCCCATAAAGGAGGAGATGGTTCCCAGCTTCCCACTGTGGCTGAGGTCTCAGCAGTGATCCATGGTCTCTTTACTGATCTTTTTTGAGCCCAATTCACTGATTTGCACAATGGCTGACCAGAGTTGGTATAAGGGAAGGGGGTGGGGTGCAGCAGAGCTACCTGATGCCTGTGGCAAGTGCACTCCTGTCGTCTCCCTTATTAGATCTCATGCTAGCATAGTGATGGATGAGCCCACACAAGCACATTACACTTTCAGGTACAAGAGCCATCCACAAAGAAAGTGTTATTATGGTTGTTGTAAGGGTGCTTGTTTTATACATTAAGAAAGAGCAAAGTTCAAGGACATAATCTTATTTCTGTTTTTCTCCTAATCCTCTTGTAGCTTCAGCTCTAGAAATCAATCTCGCAAGAAAGATATCATCACAAAGTTATTTAGACATTCTGAAGACTGCTTTGCAGCATTGAAGAAAGCATTACTGGTGATCAATACTGTAAGATTTTGAAACCCTTCTCTGGGGAAACCACTCATTGTTTCTAAGAACGCTAACACTCAGAACAAGACCAATAAAAACTCCATATTCATTCATTTATCCATCCAACAAACATTTTTTGAGCTCCTGTTATATTGTACTGTGTGCTCAGAGATATGAACCCTGACCTCAAGAGTTGAGTCTAGTTGGGAGGAACGCATGATGTAAAATTAATTGCAATATAGGAAGATAGATGCCAATAGCAATGTGTGGCAAGATTGTTAGGAATGGAGTGACTAGTCATTGTTAACTGTGTAATTAACAAGCGGTCCAGAGCTGCTGAAACTTCTCCACCCTAACCTAGAGTTTATCAGTTCATAAGCAACTCATTGCCCATAAAGAAGCATTTTCTTAGTTCCAAAATAGCCTATTCAATTTTTTAATTGTACTACACAGGCTAATTCATGACTTTGCAACTTGCTTTTTCTTGCTTTAAGTGTTAGCTCCTGTCTCACTTTAATGTTTATTTTGGAAAGTAGCATTTGGATACTTTGATACATAGCAACATTTCCCAAGTTTGTTATTTACTAAGCACATTCAGTAATTGAATATGTAGTAAATAATGAGGAGCAGGGTGAATTACTTTTCCTTAGACTCAAATAGGACTGTGTACAATTGACTTCATATGCCAGAGGAGTTCCTTAGCCTCAGCATCAGCGTCCCACAGACAGCTGACAGGGGACAGATGGGTGCGAGCATGAGGGCAGCACTCTGGGGAGAAGGCCACATTGCCTGGAGGTGGCCTCCAGGTTTGGGGTTTGCCATCTGTGCTGGAGGCTCCAGCTCCCACCTCTGTAAGCCTAGAACGCCATTGCTTGGGGTTTCCACGCACAGTGTGGATTCAGAAACGTGGGGTTCTGTGTTCCCCGGGAGATATACCTATTTTAATGAATATTTAGGTCTATATGACTTGGTCTCTCTGAATGAACAATAATACCTAATGCTTACTATGTGCCAGGTACGATCTTAGCAATTAGTTTATATACACACACTGAATCCTCTCAGCACCTCTGTGAGGTAGACATGACTGTTATCTCCATTTGACAGTTGTGGAAAGGGAACCTCAGGGCCCATAACGAGCCTGAGGCTTCCCAGCCAGAGGCGGTGGAGCGTGTGGTTCCAGAGCAGGCACACTCCAGAGTGGGCAGGGCTGCCAGGAAGTGTGCTCCCAGAACCACCTCGGGAAAGATGAATGAAGGCTTTTGTGTATTTACCCACATCAGCTTCTATTAGTATATTGAAGAAGTAATTTAATTAAAAATAGTGAAATCCGGCTGGGCGCGGTGGCTCACGCCTGTAATCCTAGCACTCTGGGAGGCCGAGGCAGGAGGATCGCTCAAGGTCAGGAGTTCGAAACCAGCCTGAGAAAGAGCAAGACCCCGTCTCTACTAAAAATAGAAAAAATTAACCAGTCAACTAAAAATGAAAAAAAAAAAATTAGCCAGGTGTGGTAGCTCGCACCTGTAATCCTAGCTACTCAGGAGTGTGAGGCAGGAGGATTGCTTGAGCCCAGGAGTCTGAGGTTGCTGTGAGCTAGGCTGACTCCACGGTACTCTAGCCTGGGCAACAGAGTGAGATTCTGTCTCAAAAAAAAAAAAAAAAAAACATACAAAAAAATAGTGAAATCTATGTTTCCTTTAACAGAGGACTGTACTAATGCTAACCACTCCAAATACTAGACTATTGAAAAGTCAGTGCTGTACTGTCCAACTGGAGATCGCTATGCAGATAGTGTAGGTTAAAAATTGAGTGCTTAGGCTGTGCTGGGTCCCGCATTGGGCACTTATGCTAAACACTCAGAGGGGTAACACAAAGCCCCTACTGCTTCTGAGCTTGCACTCTGGAGTGCCACATAATGGCAGTGGCCACCAAATGCCTTAGAGATGTGTAGTGCACGGATTCAAAGTGGGACCTTCCATCACCTCCCACCGCTGTCACCATGTGCCTTGCCACAGGGACTAGATAAGGACAGCAGGGGAGGAAGCCAGGAACAGGAGGGCTGGGTGTTTTGCCTGTTGCACAGGGCGGCCATGGGAAACAGGTCTCTCTCCTGCTGCAGAGAGGGATGTGGAATGTTTCAAAGAAAGACTGCTTTAGATCTGCTCCAAGTCATGCGTCCATTTGCTGTATGTGCTGCCTCCAGACGCTGCCACCGGCTCTGCCAGTGGACCCAACTGCTATGATCACTTACGTCTAAGTCAGGTGGCTCACGTCCTATCCCCCAGAAACAATTCGCACACTGCCTTTTTACTTACTCTTATTCTTGGTGTTATTATTTATTTGCAGCTGATGTGATTTTGTTACAAAAATTCCAAAAGACTCTTCTCATAAAACATTAGAACTAATAGAATTTAGAAGGTCATTAGATACAAGGTCATCATCCAACGACCAATATTTCTATAAAGTGCAATAAACAATTAGAAACAGAAGAATTTTTAAAATGTCATTTTTAATAACATTTTAAAAATCAAATACCTAGGAACATATTAATAAAAATGTGCAAATTTTCTTCATTGAAGACTACAAAGATTATTCACAAAAATATTATCAATGCTTCACAAACTTTCAGAAAGTATAGGAGGAAGGAACACTAACTCAATCTCTGAGGTCAATATTACCCTGACACCAAAGTCAGGCAAAGGGATCACAAGAAAAGAAAACTGCAGCCCAATATCGTTTGTGACTATAGTTACAAAAATTCTCAACAAAATATTAGTGAGCCAACTCCAGAAGTATACAGCAAGGATGCAATGCTATGACCATATGCGATTTACCCCAGGATTATAAAGTTGGTTTAACTTCAAAAAAATCCAATTAATGTACTATACAATATTAATAGAATTAAAGACAAAACTGCATGATTATCTCCATAGATACAGGAAAATAATATTTGAAAAATCCAACATCTGTTCATGATAAGAACTTTCAGCAAGCTAGGAATAGAAAGAAAATGCCTTAACCTCATAAAGGACAGTTATGATAAATTCATAACCAACAGCATAGTTAATAGTAAAAGACTGAATGCCTTTCCCCTAAGATCAGGACTGACACAGAATGCCAGCTCTTGCTACTTCTATTCAACACTGTACTTGAGTTCTATGCAGCTAGTCAGGAAAGGAAAAGAAGTAAAAGGCATCCAGATTGGATGACGGGATTGACACTTTCAGGGCGGTGTGGCCACAGACAGGCATCCAGATTGGAAAGGAAGAAGTAAGACTGTCTTTATTCACAGACATGATCTTGAGTGTAGAAAATTCTAAGGAATGTGTGAATGTGTGTGTACACACACACTGCTAGAACTAGTAAGTGAATTCATCAAGATTATAGGATATAAGATTAATATATAAAAATCAGTTATATTTCTATAAACTAGCAATGAACAATCTGAAAATGAACTTCAGAAAGCAATTTCATTCATAACAGCATCAAAAGAATAAAATACCTCAGAATAAATTTAACAAAAGAAGTGCCAGACATATACACCAAAAATTACAAAACATTTTTAAAAGAAATGTAAGAATATATAAATAAATGAAGAAATATTCCATATTAATATATGGGAAGACAATATTATTATGATGACAGTTCTCTCCAAACTGATTTATAGATTCAGTGCAAACCCTATCAACATCCCAGCTAGATTTTCTTTTTTTTTTTTTTCAGTTGAAAAACTATCTTAAAATTCATGTGGAAATACAAAGGTTGAAGAATAGCGAAAACAATCTTGGAAAAGAAGAACAAAGTTAGAGTACTTAAACTTCCAGATTTTGAATCTTAGTAAAAAACTATATGATACTGTTATGAGGATAGAGGTATAGATCAATGGAACAAAATTGAGCATCCATAAATAAACCCTTAAATTTGTGATCAGTTTATTTTTGAGAAATTCAGTGGGGGAAAGGATAATATTTTCAACAGTGGTCATGGGACAATTGGATATCCATATGCAAAAAGATAAATTTAAAACCTTACTTTATACCATACACACATAGACCTAAATAAATGTAAAAGCTAAAATAATAAAATCCTTGCAAGGAAAATGTATGTATATTTTAGGCAAACATTTCTTAGATGTGACAACAAAAGCATGATCCATAAAAAAATAAAATAAATACATCAGAATTCATCAAAATTAATTTTTATGCTTCAAAAGATGCCATTAAGAAAGTGGAAACACACACCACAGACTGGGAAAAAATATACACAAATCATATATCTGGTAAAGGACTTGTGTCTAGAATATACAAGAACTTTTATAACTCAATAGGCAGATAACCCAGTTTTTTAAATGGGCAAAAGATACATTTCACCAAAGAAGATACATGAATGGCCAATAAGCACATTAAAAGATGCTTGACATTATTAGTCATTAGAGAAACACAAATAAAAACTACCATAAAACATTGCTATTTGTATCTTCAAAAAAAAAAAAAAAACCATGAGATACTACTTCTCACCCACTAGGATGACCATAATCAAAAAGATAGGTAATCATAAGTGTTGGCAAGGATGTAGAGATACTGGAACTCCCATACACTGCTAGTGGAAATGTAGAATGGTACAGCCACTGTGGAAAACAGTGTGGCAGTTTCTTAAAAAAGTAAATGTAATTTGTCATAGGACCCAGAAATTCCACTCCTAGCTATTTGCCCAAGAGAAATAAAAACACATATCCACACAAAGACTTGTGTGCAAATGTTCAGAAAACATTATTCATAATTTCCAAACTGGAAACGATCCAAGAGTTCATCAACTTGTGAAAAAATGAACAAAATCTGGCATATCTGTACAATGTAACACTAATCAGGAATAAAGAAGAAAAAAATACTGATACATGCTCCAACATGGATGACCCTCAGAAACACTAGCCTAAGTGAAAGAAGCCAGATATGGGAAATAATATATTTATTATATTATTCTATTTATATAAGCTATCCAGGCAAATATATAGAGACAGAAAATGGAGTAGTTGCCTTAGTCTAGGGCTAGAAATGGGGAGTGACTGCAAATGTGCATGAGATTTCTTTAGGGGGTGCTGAAAATGTTCTAGAATTAGACAGTGGTGACGGTTACACAATGCTATAAATTTATTTAAAATTATTTTTTAAATTGTCAGTGATTCCTGTTTAGACATTTAAAAAATTATCACTCCCAAACCTAAAAGTAAGCATGACTATATCCCCTAAAGTACTGAATTTACCCTCAAGATAACCTTATATCCTTTCAGATTTTGGACCCCAAAGTAATAGTTGACATTTGTATATTGCTTTATCACTTAATAAATCCTTTTGTCACATTAATATTCACAATGTCTCTCTTTGAGATCGGGTTTCTTTATTTCCCCTGTCTTTCCAGTAAACAGTATCTCTTGATTTTGATACTCAATTTACTTATTGATAATTTTTTATTCTGGGGGAAGAAATTTGCCTTACAGTATTTTGCTCACAATATGTTTTCTTTATGCAGCATGGCTGAAATTTTTCTTGCTAAGTAATTGTCCATTTATGTAATTGATGAGGTTGATGGTAGTGAAAATAAGCATAATTTATTCTTAGTAAGTTGTCAAGTTGTAATTGAGCTGCTGGGAAGTTTTGTGCCCCATGTGGCTGAACTACCCAGCACACAGGTGGGGCTGGGGAGGGAGGGACTGTCCAAGCCAGCCGTCCAAGCCCCTGGGGCAGGGGATCAGGCTGTGCCTGAGAAATGGGCCCCATTCGTCACTCTGGGGCCATCTCCTGCCAATGCCCTGGTAGAGAACATTGTCGGTACTGCACTTGGAAAGCTCTAGCAATCCCTCCCATCCTCCCACCCCTGCTCTTGGCACATGTATTATACATAATGATCAATTGAAGTATGTGTGTTTTAAATCATAATTGTATTTTGCCAAAGCTCGTCCTTTATTACATGATGCTAAATATACATAATGCTTCCCCTTCCTTTTTCTTTTTTAAAATTCCCTTCTGTATACATTCTCATGCTCAGGAAACTCATGGACAGATAACAGGGGAAGAATTGCGACATATTCTAAATAGCATGGTTGTAAAATTAAGCGATTCAGAATTCAAAGAGCTAATGCAAACTCTCGACCCTGGGGGCACTGGAATGATCAAGGTCTCCATGTTTGTTGATCTGCTTGATGAGAATCCAAAGGTGAGTTTTGAACAAATTCATGTTTGGTTTTCTCTTTATGGCGGGAACTTAATTATTTTCAGTAAAATAAGAGATGCAGGTGAAATATGCTTTAAATAAGTTAATGACCATATTTTTCAACTGAATTAATTTTCATTTTAAGTAAGAGTTAAGTGTTTGAGAGTTGGTTGATTTTAACTTTTAGTTTCTAAATCTTATCAAAGGATGATATTTTATATTTCTAAAAACCTGTTTCTGAATGAAAGCCCTTTTATGGACATGATGTAACTTCTTTTCACAGCACTTTGACAGCACTTCTCTTACAACTGTGTCTTAAAAGGAGTGTTTGTAAATGACTACTCTGGTTCTCATTCATATTTTTAGAGTTTTGTACCCTATGTTGGTTCATCTCTTTAAAAAATAAGCGTTCATTGATTGCCTCTAGTGACTAATATTTGCCTGTAATATTTCTTTCTTTTGACTGAAAAGTTGATTTTATTATTAGAAATGCTTCTATAACTTTAATAGCTATTAGCATCAAAACATTTTAAGAACTTTAAAAAATCAGATTAATTTCAGATAACACATGCAATAGGCTTTAACAGATTCTTGGTGAAATGTTTGTTAAAGACATCTTTTAACAGATAGAAATTAGCTTTTAATTTTTAGATTTATGAAGTTGACATACCTATGAATCAAAATCAAACTAGTAATATCAAGAGGTGCACTATTCCCCAAAAATAATGTTTCTATTGAATGGATCGGAACAGGGGTGCCTTGCTTTGGGGATTGCTTTAAGATAGTTTAAATGAATCCAGCTGCGTTCTATTCCGATGGCTCCTGTGTAAAAGGCAATTGATTCGTCACCAATTATTCATTCCCACCTATTGTGGTTTTGCCTCATGTTCTTATGGAAAGTTGGGGCATACTTTTTTGTTTAAAATGGAGCAAGTTATTGGAGTGAAAAGGTCATATTTAAATTACCTTCTCTTGGTACATCTAGAAATTTTCTACCAACAATTTGGAGGTAATTTTAATAGACCATATTACATAATTCATTCAAGTGTTTTATGATTATACAAGTAATAGACATTCATTGTGATATATTTAGAAACTATCCAAAACTACAAATGTGAAAATAATGATAAAAATCCTAAATCCAAACACCCAGAGACACTCATTGTTAAAATTTTGACAAATTTCTTTCTACTTTTTGCGTGTATAGTGTATGCACATATTTTTTAACATGGTCGAACTCATTATTTGTAAGATTTCGTATTCCATTTTTTCGAACTTCACATTATATGATAAACATTTCTCCCACATCACCATACCATTCAAAACTCATCATAGACATAATTTTCAGTGGTACCTAGGAGTGTTCTGTGCATGTACTTACCATTGGAGCATTTAGGTGCTTTGTTTACTTTCACTATGAACGATAATACTGTGGTGGACAGCTTTGTGCAGAGATCTTCATTCACATGTGTATATTTCCTTAGAACAGATTCATAGAAGTGGAAATACTGGGCCACACAGTATGGGCATTTTATGGTTCTGGGCATATATATAATTCCTTTTCAATAGGAAAGGTCTAATGATCCATTTTGCTAGAAAATGGGTGGGAATAGGCTGACAAGTAAAATGTTAGTTGTGCCACATACCTGTCCCATGTAGGTGGATGGGTATGTGAACCTGTGTACCCAGCCAGTGTTTGTGACATATGGAAGCCTGAACATGTGCCTGACTCAATTTACTGCTAGTGCTTCAGAGTGAGATCAAGCCCAGTACCAGGCATAGAGGCCATCAGCTGGGCTGGGAGCGTGCCTTCAACTCCCTGCCTCCATCTCACATTGGTTACTGGGGCAAATCTCTTTAAAATTCATTTTTTCATCTGTAAAACAAGGTTGATAATAGTATCAACTTGTAGGGTTGTTATAGAAATTTAACAGGATAATGCACATAAAATGTTTGGAATCTTTTTTCTTTAAAAACAAAATATAGACATGTAAGCAGTCTGTTCTCCACATGGCAAGCAGTGTGATCTTTGCTTACTATAAATCAGATCATGTCTGCCTCCATGCTTAAACTGCTACAGTGGCTTTTGAGGACTCGTGGGATAAAACAGGACTTCCTAACATGGTTGATGAGGTACCCACGTGGTTCAGCCCTGCCGCCTCATGGGAGGTCCATCTTCTAGTTCCTTTGCTCCCAGGCCCAGCCTACCCTGCAGTCACTGCCTCAATTTCCTTCTTGCTTCTCTCACCTATGGTGGCATCTCCAGAGCACAATGCACCCAACACCCAAGCAGGGACGCTCCCCGAGGTCTCTGGGGAAGTCATACCTTCCAGTTACTGACCTCACTAGCACCCCAAGCTGTTGCAACCAGAGCCACATTTGTGGCCTGCTAGAGTCCTGTCCCCACAAAGACAGAGGCCTCTCTGTTGCCACTGCCCATTGCACCGCAGGGCAGGCCAGGGCCAGGCACGCTGTCACACAAATGAATCAACATGAATGAATGAGTTGGAAAAATTAGAAAACACAGACATGCAAATGGAAGAAAATAAAAACCACAAAACCACTAATTCTAACACCAAGGGGTTGTTATTGTTACACTTTGTTGTATATTCTTCCAAACTTATAAAAATATACACATATACTTTTTAAAAAACAGCTTTATTGAGGTATAATGGATATACAAAAACCGGTACATATTTAATCTATATACTTTGATGAGTTTGGATACATACTTTTGTATATTGTATCTATTTTATTTAAAAGAGAGATCATATAATATAATTAATTTCTTATTAGCTTATCATTTATTAACATGTTATTAATATTTAATGCCAATAAAAGTTCTGCTATATAATTTTAAAAGATATTTTAAATTTTAAAAGCTATTCTCTCTTGTTATAATCTAGATATTTATTTTTTTGTTTGCCTATTTTTACAAATTTGCTACAGTGAATATTTTGGTATCTGCTTTTTTGTATCACTCTGATTATTTCTTTAGTATAAATTTCTAGAAATGGAATTATTGGGTCAAAGAATATGTGTTTTATTTTATTAATAATTTTTAAAGAGGAATATATATATAAAGTAAAAAATGCAAAAGGTGCAAAAGGGAATACAGTGAAAGGAAGTTTCCTTGTGCCCTGCTCCCTAGCCACCCAGTTCTCCTGCCCAGCGGCTGTCGTCACCCTAGAGTCTATAAATTATCAAATTCTCCAATATTATCCAAGTGAGACAAAATACCTTCCAGAAAGCTAGATCAATTTACATCCCCACCATTTCTGAAACCCCTTCCAGTGCAGGCAGTTTGCTTATTTTTCTTTTTTGCCATTCTGATAGGCAAAAATGCCATCTGGTTATTCTTTTATTTGCATTTATTTAATTTATAGGTGATGGTTCTTTTCATGTTTATTGTACTTTTTATTTTTAAATAAATGCAGGCTAAGTGTTATTATCCCCATTTTCAGGTGAGTGTTGGAGGGTAGACTCACTCATTCACAGTCTCAAAGCTATTGGCTAATCATGGGCAGCACTGGGATTCAAGTCCAGGTCCATGTGCCTCCAAAGCTCCTACTGCCTTTTGTGATTTTTATTTATATACCTTCTCTTTCCCGATTAGATGAGGAAGATATCACCCTGTACAGACACCAAGACCCCTCTCCACCTGGCATGGGATTCAGTAAGTGACATTTGCTTTCTCTTTGTGGATGCCTTCCTTTATGGTCCAAGGGTGAGATCACACTAGGTTACAAATGTACAGCTTAGTAAATGTGTTTGTTTTTTATGTTAGGTAGAAGAAGTTGTTCATGATGCAATTATTAGGAGTCTACAAGCTTTTTATAACATGCTGCAATCATATGACCTTGGAGACACAGGGCTCATTGGTCGAAGTAATTTCAGGAGACTCATGAACATATTCTGCCCAGTTTTAACAAACGAATACTTCCTAAAGTAAGTTTTTGGTAACAAAATTAATTTATGTCATATTTATCATCAAGTCTGTTTCATAATTCTAAACCTTTTTCTATGTATTGTTGTAATATTATTAGATAATATTGATAATAGCAGCTATTTATTGAATCCTTACTAAGTGCTGGACATGTGAGGTAGCTAGTATTATTTCTTTCTACGGATAAAAAAACCAAGGCCTGGTGAAGTTGAGTACCCACTCCAAGTCACACGGTGGGAAGGGAGGCCTGCGTTCCAGGACTCTGTGGTCTTTACTGTTTTCTTATTTTACAAGCAAATATCTTTATTTTTAAGTACTATCTTGTAAAATATTGTTCAAAATCCAAAGATTTCATCTCAACTCTTACTGAATTTACAAAGCTCTTTTGTTTTAGTTGCTACAGTTAAATATGTTGAGTTCTGCTGGTCAGAGCATTATTATCAAGAGGTTTTTTTTGTTTAACATGTAAAATATTGATAATTGAACAATTTAATTATATACAATCAACTAAGTACTGTCAGTTTTACATAATGAAACTATTATATAAGGGTAGACCAGTCATGGTTAAGACAGAGCATAGTTCTAGACATTTCATTTCCAGGCCGAGAAATTCCACAGCCGGGCCACAGCTGATTGGCGCTACCTGCTCACCTCTCCCACCGTCACCCCCTGCAGTGGGGACAGAGGGAGGAGACCTGTGCTCTCAGTAGTTACACTGCTTTACCTCCTCGGCTGGGGTTGGTCATCCCATAGCAGTGGCTTGATTTCTATTTTCCTACCACCTTAGTTTCAAACTTCATTGGAGGTAGACGAGCCTAAGCCAGAAGGGGAGAAGAGATGAGGCCGCTCTGGCTCTCTTCCCTGGCGAGTTTCACCACTCACAAGTCTCCCCTTGGGGCACAGAGCCTGGCCGCATCTCTCTCTGCAGATGACCTTGAGGACCTACCACTCAGAACCCCATGGGTCTGCAGAGGATGTGCCTTCCTTATCACCACCTCAGTGTCTCTCAGACTTGCTCTCGCAGAACTGAGACCTGGACGGCCCTAGAGGTTGTCTGGTTCAATGTTTCCCAAAGTGAGGGTAGTGATTTAGGCAGTTTTCTCTGGGGGCATCAACTGGAATCACAGAGAAGAATGTCATTTTAATTCTCTTCTGGTTCTTCTGATAGAAATGTGAAAAATCTTACTTACTGATTTTGTTTACATTACATTGATTTTAGGTGAGTGAAACACAAGTTGATCTACTGGCAGTTATAGGCCATTTGCTTCTCCTTTCTGTGAACATTCATGCTCCCAACTTTCTTTTTAAATGGCTGGGTTTTGTAAGAGGAGAAGGATTTACTAGCAGAGGAGGGTGAGGCAAAAGCTTCACTGGTCAGGAGTGGCTTGGTGTGTCTGGCTTGGACATTTGTATTTTATCCAATTCTTATTGAATGTTTGCAGAAAGATCAGTTTGCTAGCATGTGGAAGAAACACTGAAATGGGGAAAAACAGGTGACTGCAAGTCAAGAGAGAGGGCTCTAGAGAGAATACAGATAAGAGACAGTACAGGCCTGTGCTGAGGCAGTGGCCAGGTGGGGAAAGGAACGAGGCCACGTGGCGCATCCCTGTTGGTGGGGCTTCGGCCACTCTTGGCCTTTGTGTGTGCTCATGGGTAAGAGAGGGGCCTGGTGTCGGCTGAGCAAGTCGTGTATTCCATCACTTAGCCTTTCGTTCGGGGAATGTTAGGGCCTGCGTACATACGTGGGCTGTCCCTTGGCAGTAGGCTCCCATGAGCCCTTTATTTCCAGGGAGGTCTAGTGTGTGGGGAGGAGATGCAGACAAACCCAGGAAGGCATTTAAGTGCCACAGCAGCTGTGTGCTCAGTGCCTCCACAGGATGTCCTGGGGCGGTGGCACAGAATGCAGGGAAGCTTCCTGGGGACGTGATTCCTGAGTCTGGAGAAGAGGAGGAAGGGCATTTCAGGACATGGAACTCCAGGGGAAAGGCCCAGAGGGCTGGGGGACTGGCAAGTCATGTGGGACAGCTGGAGGAAGAAGTTTTGTTGGGACAGGCAGGACCTGGCAGGGATGACTGGGGCACTGATTCTCTACCAGCACCTTGGAATCATCTGGAGAGCTGTGAAAAATCCCAATGTCTGTGTCCTGTCCCCAGGCTGGGCCAGCACTGTGATGTTGAAGTCCCCACTTGGCTCTGATATTCAGCCATGATTGAGAAGCACAGGTGAGGGACCCGGGGCCTCTGAAGTGGCTTTAGGTGGGATCTGGTGACAAGTTCAGATTTGGACCTTGCAGAGATCACTCTGACTCCATGTGCAGCGTGGATTATAATGGGAGAAAGGGAAGTGAGAGGTACTTGCAACAGGTAATGGCAGTGGCCCCACAGAGTGGGTGACTGCAAGGTGACGGGTTTGGGAAGTAGGATGACAAGACTTGGTGATTCTGGATATGGAGGGTAGTAGAAGAGGAAGAGAAGAGGAAGAGGTAGAAAAGGAAGGACTTGCAAGGGACCATCAGGGACTGCTCGGGCCATCAAGTGAGAGACAGGGCCACTCTCGAGTTAGGAAACACAGAAGGAGTGAGCCAGTTGGGGAGAGTCCCTGCAGGAAGATGGACTCAGAGAGGAGTCTGGGCTGCAGATAAAGATTATGGAGTTTTCATTTTATAGACAGTTTGTTCATTTGTTCAACAAGCATTGTCTGGGGGCAAATGGTTGATCCTCTGAGACGAAGAGGCCGTGCGTAGGACCTGGCAGAACCAGTGACCTGGCTTGTCCAGTCAGCAAAGGAGGCTGAGAAGTAAGCGGCTGCCAGGAAAGTGGGGATAGAAATTGCTCCACTGGAGGCTAAGGGAGGATGAAGTCTCAAATAGAAGGAAGCCAGCGATACTTTTAAGGAGTGTGGAGAGTGCAGTGTCAAGAAAAGGACCCATGTGTGTCACTGACATGCTGTGTGCTTGTGTGTCGGCGTGGGAGGAAGCTGATGGAAAGCAGAGAGAGGAGAATGGAGATGGAACCTGGATGGGGGGTGGGAGGCTGTGAATAGGGTCCTCTGCTCTGTTAGTGTGGGGGGAGCCCAGGTCATCAGCCGAGAGTGGAGCCCGGGTGGAATAGGGAGGTCGAGAGATTGATAAAGGTTGGAACAACTTCCAGTGGGCAAGGGACTCACTTGGAATCTCTGTTTCCTTTTCCTTAAAATGAAAGATGTTGCCCAAACTTCAGGCATTCATGTTCTACATTTGTACGTTTTATTTTCTTTATATCAACTCCTATTTTTCTAATTTTCTAATTTCTAATTTCCCCTTTAAAATTTTTTTAAATTGTTAGTAATTTTTAAAAGAAAACTTTTCTCGCCACCATACACGTAAAATAGACAGTACTCATTGCTGGCTAGAAGTGGAAAAATTGGTACTCTTAGGTGGGCTGGTCGGGGCTTAAAGGATGACGGCCCTTCAGAAGCCTGTTTGGTGTAACAACGGCCTCCCCTTTGTCTCTGTCACTCTTGCAGGAACACATGTCATGGCCACACTTGGAGGTTCGGGGTGGTCTTGGAGGACACCTGGCTGGACTTGCCAGTGTCATGCATTGGGGTTGGTGAGAAGGAACCAAGGATGACTCTTAGTTTCTGGCTTGAGCAACTGGGCACTCAGGCTTGTCACTAAGAAAGGGAGAGTGGGAGAGGAACGGTTTCAGGAGTGAAAACCAGAAGTTCCACTTTGGGTGCATTAACTTGGAGAGAGTATTGGTGCCATGTCACCACATGGAGTGGGTGGTCACTCTGTCCACCCCCAGCCCCCAAAGTTACTCTCTGCCCTGCCACAGAGCTGCATTTTCCCCGGCTCTGATCTTTTGTTTGTGTTTACCATCTGTGTCACTCACCAAGGTGTAAGGGGCAGGGACTTGGTCTGTCTCTCTCACCCCTGACGCTCCAATACCTAGGGGTGGATCAGTGCCCAGGACTTGGTCCTGCGTGATGGAGAGAGCAGATGAAGGAAGGAAGGAAGATATCTAGTGGACTGGTCATGTAGGCAACTGGGAATTTGATGTGGAAATCTCTCCAATCCATTCTCCAACACTTAGCCACACTTCATCTGTTGAGACTACAAATCTGATCATGTCAAAACTCTGCTTAAAACACTTTGCCATTAGGAAACAAACCATCTGGATACTTTAAATACAGAGTGGCTTCCTGGGCCCTCCATCATTCTCTTACCTCTCGGTGAGCTCAGGCTCTGCAGCCAGACTGCCGGGGTTCAAATCACACTTCAGACCTGAATTAGCTGGGAACTGGGCAAGTGACTTAACCCTATGAGCCTGTATTTCCTCATCCAAATATTCCTTCTTAGGGTTGTGGTGAGGATCAATTGAGGTAGTATGTACTTCTATGCTCCTAAAACTTACAGAGGACCTTGATGAGAGTTTTTATCATGTGGAATATGTCATTATTTACCATATTAGAAATTAAAACTGAGACATTTAAAAAGTGTTAATGCAGAACATGAGTGTACTTGTGCTTCCAGTTAGGCTTGGAAAAAACTCTGGCATTTCAAAATAATGTTTTATTGGATGATAATGAGATTACAGAAATGATAGCAGGTATAACTGAAGGTCACCAGTAAAGAAGCCAGTAGATCAGCTTTAAGAAACAATGGTGATATAGCACCTCTTGTATATTCCTAGATAGAGCTGGGGCCCATTCTCCTAAGTGAAGTATCTCAAGAATGGAAAAACCAGCACCACATGTACTCACCAGCAAATTGGTATTAACAGATCAACACCCAAGTGGACATACTGGAGTAACATTTATCGGGTGTCGGGAGGGTGGGAGGGGAGTGGAGGGGATGGGTATATACAAACACAATGAGTGAGATGTGCAACATTTGGGGGATGGACACACTTGAAGATCTTACTCAAGGGGGGAGGAGGGCATGGGCAATATATGTAACCTTAACACTTGTACCCCCATAATACGCTAAAATAAAAAAAAAAAAAAGAAGCCAGTAGAAATGCTGTGAAGAAACTGAGTTAATCTCTGAAAACCTAGTCCTAGTTCCTCACTTGTACCCTAAACCTACCACCTTAGCAATGTTAGAAAACACAGACTACACAAGGATATGTTCCATTAGTGGTCAGAGCAAGGACATGATCACACACGTGTTGCCTCTGGAAGCTCCTCTGTATGTATGTGGGAGAATCAGTGTGGAAAAGATAAATAACACTGTGGGGTTAATATGAAGACAGTTTTGGCCTTGCTGCTGCCCTGGCAGTGTCCTCAGACCGACTTTGTGGGCCTCTGCCTGCAGCCAGATAGTTCTTCAGTCACAGAGCTCATGTTCAAACCCGGGAGGCCAATCTCAGGGCTATGCCCATAACTGCTATCTCTGTTGCCTTGCAGATTTTAATGAATACGTAAAATTTCATTTAGATACTCAGACTTTGCCAAATTAGCAAGAAAAAGCATGTACAACTTTTATAATTAGAAAAATATTAACAGACAAAATGTTGGAAAGAAATTACTGTGACATATTAGTGGTTACTTACATTTTGCTAAAGTATTTGCATATGCTAAAATTCCAATATAAGCTCTTACACAATTCCATACCAACATTTCTAATTTTAAAAATTCTCTTTTTTAACATTTATTGTATCTTGTGTGTGTGTGTGTGTGTGTGTTTAACGTCCATTTAGTCAAAACATTTATTGTATCTCCATTGTGGTATACTTTATATAATAAGCTGCACGTATTTAAATGATACAATGTGATGAAATTCATCATGTGTCTATAGGACCATCACAAGTGGATATCAAAAATTTTCATCACCCCAAAAAGCTTCCTCGTGCCCTTTTGCAACTCATAGCTCCCTCCTCCAACCCACATGTAACCACTGACCTGCTCTCTTTGGTTGTAGATTACATTGCATTTTCTAGGACTTTATATAAATGGAAGCACACAATAGGTTCTCTTTTGTGTCTGGCTTTATTCACTAAGCATAATGATTTTGAGATTAATTCGTATTGTTATGTATATCAACAACTCGTTCCTTTTCGTTGCTGTATAGTATTCCATTGTATAGTTTTTACCATAGTTTGTGTATCCATTCATCTTTTGATACTAATAGATATGTGGTTTGTTTCCAGTTTGCGGCTATTACAAATAAATCTGTCTATATTGTATAACTCCTTGTATAGACATACATTTTTATTTCTCTCGGGTAAATGCCTAGGACCAGAACAGCTGGTTCCTGTGGTAATTGTAATTCAGTGGTCAAACTGTCTCCCAAAGCGGTTGCACCATCTTCCACCCCCACGAGCAGTGGATGAGAGCTGTAGTTACCTTCGTGCATCTTCACCAACACTTGATAGTGTCAGTCTTTTTAATTTTAGTCATTCTAATGGGTGTGTTCTAATTATTTTTAAAACTCAGACTCTGCAGTAAGTTTCAAGATGATGCTTCAGGAAGAATCCATTACAGGAAACTTTTGGCAAGCATAGGAATTAATGGCCCACCTGTTGTCTCTCAAGTTCTTACTCCAAAGGATCAGCTAAGTGAACGTTTTCAAAAAGTGAAAGAGCAGCAGCCAGACCTTTCTGAGAGGTAAAATGAAAGCACATACCACACTGTCTATCACGGACTAGTTTGACTAAATGAATACTTAAATATTTGTTGACTAAATGGGTGTTTTAATACCTTATTATTTAAATAAGAAAGATGGCCCACTATACATACAGTCATCAGAGTCAGAGGATTTTAGAGCAAACAGAGATCTTAGGAATAAATCTATTTGTTAATTTTAGAGACGAAAGCACTGATGTCTTAGAGGTTTGGGGACTTGTATCACAAACTTAGTGGCTGGCCTGGGTCAAGAATCCAGGGCTCTCAACTCTCAGAGACACTGGTCTGCAACTCGACTCTTACATACCTGCATTCACATTTATTCTTTTCTAGAAACTTACATTCCTTACCACAATTTAATATTTATTGCAACACACACCCATTAAACCAGTTAGCGTTTTCTAATATGAATGATAGAAATATTAAAATGATTGCCAAATTGAATTGTAACAATAAAACATACTTAGTAAATCTATAAAAAATTGGACTGATGAATATTCTAGCTCTTCTTCATTTAAAAATATAGCTTTAGTCTAATGAAAAGATATTATTTTAATTTGCTCGCTCATAGCTTGTAATAAATCCATAATGAAAAGTAAAATGTAGGACTATTCACAGACTTCACTTTGTCATAGCCCTTTAAAAAAGTTCTCAAGTATAGAGAGCAATGGGAATATTTTAATGATATGATAATGAAATTTGAATATCTGTGCTTTTCAGTAGTAGCGCTTTATAAATGGGCAGAAAGAGGGTATTTTAAGAGAAAGGTTAAATATTGTGTGATAAGATATGTCTGCTTCCTAAAACTGGTGAAAGAAGCAGTGGTGATTAAGCATTTCATAAAATGTAGGCTTTCCTGGAGAGCTCTTAAAAAGAGAAGCAGCAGGGAAGGAATAGATGTCCATTCTCCACGACTATTTGGTGGCCATTTTTCTTCCCCTCCGATAAAAGGGGCCCAGAGACTTCTAGAGAGCTGAGGAAATAATTATCCCCAAACACCTACACACACCCCTACAACCGTGCTCACATTTATAGCACATACAATTTGTATTTCATAAATCAAGTTGATTTCATAAATCACCTTGGAATAACTGTGGATTTCTCTTCCTTTCCATAAATGTTTGATGACTCCCTCGATCTAGTTACCACAAAATGGCCTATTTCTTTAATTTAAAGCTTTCTAATGGGCTCTGACTTTAAATTTTCCCACTTCACAAAAATATCTTTTTTCATCCATGTGTGCCTGGTCTCCCACCACCTTCAGCCAGCTCAAAGCACAGTGAAAATCTCAGCACAAGGACCATAGTATCCTCTCCAGCTCCCCACCTTGGCCTGCCGCCACAGTTGGTGGGACACAGTGCTGCTGACCTGCAGTGCTGGTCTTCAGGTCACTCCACCTTTCCAAGCATCTGTTTCCTCCCTTGTGAAACAGGGAGTGTGAACCTTATTGTCATGGGTTACATCGAAATTGGGTGCTCTGCATATGTCAATTGACGCTGGATCTAAATGCCTGCTTGTGATTTTAGAACCAAGCCCACAGAGGATAAAACCACCCCGACCAAGAATATGACCAAAGAAGAAGTTATCAAAAAACTCAAAAGCTACATACAGCAGCAGGACCCAGCATTCAGAAAACGATTTCTTGACTTTGGCAGAGAACCTAATGGAAAAATCAACATGCACGAATTTAAGAAGGTAGGAGAATGGGTTTCTTGTGTGTTTCTTTCTTTTCCGAAGAAGTTTTCAGTTTTATTACACTAACATACTTTAAAGAATAATGGTTTATTCCAGGACAAAGCAGATCCATTTCTAGGCATCTTTGAACAATTTAAAAGAATTCTTTTGGCCAAAAATGGTCTTTGGCAAATTTCTTCAGAGAATAACTTCAATAGGGATGTGACCAGTTTTTGATATTTAAACTGTTAAAACAAAGCGTTCATTGATGCATTGTTTGGCGATCTCCTAATCCTGGCGCTGTGGAGGTGGGAATACGAAGCTGCCCAGGACCCCTGCCTGCTGGCGAAGAGTTCTTGTGATGCTGTGATAACAGAGCTGTGGTTTGTTCCTCTAGAAAGTATTAAAAAAAGGAAGAAAGAAAGTAATCTGGCAGTGAAGTATGGGAAGCTCAGTGCTGATTTGCATGTGCTTATGGGAACTAGTGCATTTCTGCCAGAAAAGGCTCAGCTTGAAGGGTTCTGCATAGACTTCTCAGGAATTAATTTAAATGATTGCTTAAAATTCCTATTATGATCCCTCTAGCTAATCATCTTCAGCTATTTTTAAGGAAAGCATTTCAGTTAATATGTAACAGTGTCCATGTGGACAAATTTAGAAGCAATGAAATATATTTCCAAGAAGAGAGTAATTACATTAGTAGCCACTATTGATCTAGTGCCGGCCCCTATGCCAGGCGCTGTAATAGGCTCTTTATGCTCTCATTGCTAAGTCTCAGGACAGCAGCGTCGTGGAGGATGGGCTGGAGGAGGGAGATGGGGTTGGGCAGCTATTCAAATGACCCAGACCTTCTCCCCTCCCCAAACAGGACAAAACAGAAAGATCTCAAGGGTCCGGTGTTCTGTGAACATAAGGGAATGGTGAAATAAAAGGTCAGGGATAGGAAATGAAGGTGGGGGATAAGAAATAGAGGAGTAAGGCAGAGGAAGAGTTCCCAGATTTCTGGTTTGGGGGACCAGGTGGTTGATAATTAGTCGTTGATGACTTTGATAAGACTTCAGTGGAGTGAGTGGTGATGTGGGAGCCGGGGCTGGAAGGTGAATAAGCACCATCTATTCCCTCCACCCTCCCTCCCCGCCCCCACAGGGCCCTCTGTCCTAGGTTTTATTTCACCCCAAGTTACCTGGCACCAGTGTCCTTGCCCCTAATGCCTAATAGTCTTGAACTAGCTAGGTGCTCAGCATTGATTCTTAGAGTCACAGGAGACTAAGAATCCCTATTCTGCCTCTGGTTTTTCAGAGTGGAAAGTGACTATCTTAGAGAAGAGGCAGGGGAGGGTGGCAAAACTGGGACAGACACACATGGCTGCTGACTTTGAGGGCAGCTCCTTACCTGGCCTGTCCTCTGCTCACCTGAGAACACCTTTAGGTCATCAGCTCAGCTGCAGGTTCTCCCATCTCACAGTCTTACTGTCGATAAGCCAGTGACTCCCGAGTTCATGTCTCATACCACCCTCCTGTGCCTCAGTTTCCTGGGTCCTGCTTCCTCTCTTCCACGTGGGCACACCTGGAGAGATGCCCATGTTCTCTCCAAGGCTGCTCTGCCAGCGTTCTTTCCATTCTCTGTCAGAGGCAACAACTTGTATTCCAGTTGCTCTGGGCCTCCTCTTACACCCACATCCAATTTATCAACAAAGCCTGTTGGCTCCCTTCCAGGTTGTTCCAGAGTAGATGACCCCTCCACTGCTTCCCTTCCCCTGCTTCCTCCCACTCGATTATCATAGCAGCCTTTTCACACCTCCCTGCTCCACCCTTCCTGTGCCACAGTTAATGCTCAACAGAGCAGCCAGGGTAGCCCCTTAACAGGATCCCTCCTGCTGGGAACCCGCAGATGGCTCTCTGTCTCACTCATGGTTTTGTGCTGTGGAAAGGATTTAGATCAGATGTAACTCAGGGCATCCAGAGCATAAGGGTTGGGGATGTCAGATTTCAGTGGCAAGGAAACCTTTGGAATGGACTTCTCTAGAGATCTTTAAGTATAATAGGCATTAGGATTATAATTCTGTAATGGCAGTAAGAGCAGTGATGATGATGATAATGGTTACCATCACTAAATAATGATGGTGGTGGTGGTCATAATGATACAGCTACCATGCATTGAGTTCTTCCAATATCCAGGCACTGCAGAAGTTGATTTGCATGTGTCATTTCTAATCCTCATGGGAACCCCATGAAGGGGTTATCTATAGAAGGGTAACCTTGAAGGGAATTGCCCTTCATGGTAATCTATAGATTACGTTGTACCACTTTCACAGATGAGGAGACCAAAGCTTAGTAGTTAAGATAGTGGTTCAGCACTGTTCAGCTGTTAAGCCATTCAGGAACTTGAATTCATTTTTTGTTTTATTTTGTTTTTTTGAGACAGAGTCTTGTGCTATTGCCCAGTATAGAGTGCAGAGGTGTCATCATTGTTCACTGTGACTTCAAACTCCTGGGCTCAAGTGATCCCCCTGCCTCAGCCTCTTAAGTAGCTGGGACTACAGATATGTGCCACCATGCCAACCAAGTTTTGTATTTTTTGTAAAGACGGGATCTCCCTGTGTTGCTCAGGCTCGTCTCCAACTCTTCGCCTCAAGTGAGCCTCCCATCTCAGCCTCCCAAAGTGCTAGCATTATAGGTATGAGCCAGCAGGCTGGGCCTGGAACTTGGATTGGAATTAATACCTGTCTGTATCAGCCTTAGGCCTTTGCTGGTTGTAATTTTGGCCTTGTTAGGTATGATACAGGCTTGCTAGTTATAATACAGGCTAGTGGGGGTAATGAGGCCTTGCTGGGTATAATATGGCCTTGCTGGGTGTACTGCAGGCTTTTTGGGTGTAATATGGGCTAACTGGGTATAATACAGGCTTGCTGGGTGTAATGTGGGCTTGCTGGGTATGATACGGCCTTTGTTGGTGCAGGCTTGTTGGATGTAATATAGGCTTGCCAGGTGTACTGTGGCCTTGCTCGGTGTAATATGGTCTTGCTGGGTTTACTGCAGCCTAGCTGAGTGTAATTCAGCCTTGTTAGTTATGCTGCAGGCTTGTTGGGTAATTGATGGCACATATTTTGAGGTTGTATCTGGCCTCAGAGTTTTGTGAGAAGGACATAATTTTAATAACAATGCCACTTAACTTCTTCCTATTATTTTGGTCATGGCTATACAATGTTCTTGCCCTGTATAGCATGTTAGTATACTGAATTGTTAACACAGTGTATTTGTGTATCTAAACATATCTAAACATGGAAAAGGGGCAGTATAAATATTATATGATAATCTTTTGGGACCACTGTGGTATATGCAGTCCATCATTGATTGAAATGTCATGTGGTATGTGACTACATGCCAGCTTATTAACTGTGTTATCACAATTTCTACATCCTTACCAATTTTCTGCCTGCTCTTTCTACTAGCTGTTGAGACTCCCACCTGATTGTGGGTTTATCTAGTGAGATCCTTTTTACTCTGCTGATTGTTGCATTATTTAGTTTGAAGCTAAATCATTTGGTACAAATAAATTTGGAATTGTTGAAACTTCCTGTGAATTTTCTCCTTTATCATTATGACATAACTCTCTAGATGCAGAGTAATGCCACTTGCCCTCAAGCCTGTTTTGTCAGGTAAGAATAATAATACAGTTACTTCAGCTTTATTTTGATTAGTGTTAGTGCGGTATATCCTTTTATATCTCTTCACTGTCGAAATATCTGGCTACTTACGTATAGCAAGTTTCATGTGGATAGCAGATAGATAATTATTTAAAAGATAAAGTCTGATAATCCTGATCTTCTACTTAAAGTATTTAGCCCATTCTATATTTATTTAATTACTGATATAGTTGGCTTTATATCTATCATCTTAGTGTTTTTTCTGTTTGACCCACTGTCTAATGTTTCTTTTTCTGTTTTTTCTTGCCTTATTTTAGACTACTTAAGTATTTCTATTATTTCATTTTCCCCTCTATTAGCTTGTGAGTTAGTATATTCTTATATCAGTCTTATGGAGGCTACACTAGAGATTGCAACATGCGTTCTTTGTTATTGTAGCCAAATATAAATTATTATATTCACCATTCCCTAATGATGCTAGATTTTTTAATAGTTTAATTTACTCTAATCTATCCCCTCCTCACTTTTGTGTTGTTGTCATGCATTTTAACTTTACATACATTTTAAATCCCACAGGCATTATTGTTATTTTGTATAGTAAATTATCTGTCATATGAATCTACATATTTATTCTTGTTGTCCTTTCTATCTTATATTTTGTGTTTATAGCTGGACTTATTTTTTATTTTTAACTAAAGACCTCCTTTTTGTACTTCTTTTAATGCAAATATACTGGTGACTAATTCTCCAAGTTTCCATAGTTTATTCATATTTCTTAGTTTTTTACCTACTTCTTTTTTCTGTCCCGATTGTATCCAGGAACCCACATTATTTTAGTCACCACATCTCCTTAGGCTTCTCTTGGCTGTGACAGTTTCTCAGACCTTCCTTGTTTTTGGTAACCTTGATGGTTTTGAGGATGACTGGTCAGATATTTTATAGAATGTCCCTCAATTGGGATTTGTCTGATATTTTTCTCATGAAGACTGGGTAGTGTGTTTTCGGAAGGAAGAGCACAGAGGTAGAGTGCCCTTTGTATCAAGGGTACCTACTATTAATATGACTTGTCACTACTGATGTTGAACCTGGTCACCTGGCTGAGATATAATTTGTCAGGCTTCTTCACTGTTAAGTCACTCTTTTTTTCCCTTTCTCTTTCTTTCCATACTTCACTGTTTGGAAGAAAATCGCTATGCACAGCCCACATGCAAGGAGTGGGGAGTTATAATGCTCCACCTCTTTAAAGGCAGAGAAACTCCATACATGATTTGAAATTCTTCACAGAAGATTGTCTCTTCTCCATTTCTTAATGTATTCGGTCAATTATTGATACTGATATGGACTCATGCCTCATTATCATTTAAGTATCTATATG